TTGCATTTTATCTGCTTGTTCAGTTGTTCTACAATGTGCCAGCATAAGAGGGTCCCCGTGTGTGTGCAACGGTCTGTGCTTTATATGTCTGTTGAGTGTGTCTAATTGAGAGCTAAGCAAAAAAAAAAGTTTGGTGCCTTCAGAAAGTTTCCAATAAATATCCTGCTCTTAATTTTAAACACCTGCCCATAAACCTCTGAGGAATGCTAAATAAAACCAAAGCTTTCAGAAAAAGCCTTCTGTCTGGCTCTCACACCAAGACAGCAGGATTTGTAATGGCTGTAACTAAGATTAAGCAGTTCTGGCTGGACCGGCCGTGTAAAAAAATTTTTTAATGCACTGGTACATGCTGCACAGTAAGGATGTGCATAAGTAATCGACTAATGAGTCAACTGGTAAGGCCCTGTCCCAAATGACGCTTTGAGATGCTGTGTTCACAGTTTGGTGTGGCCCAAAAATTATGGATTGTGGGTGGATAGTGAACACAAAGGCAGGTGCTCATGAAGGGACACTCTAGTGCACATGTATATGCAATAGCCATTGCAAGTACACAAGTGTGCAATTTGAGACAAGGCCTAAAAACAATCTTCAAAATGTTTCATGTAAATTTATTTTTACCTAGGTTTATCCATTTGAGTCCTGGCTTCCTGTCATCATGTATAAGAAAGGCAAAAGGACAAAAATATTAAATAAAAAAATATATTTATTAAACTTATATATTACTTATATATACAGTATATATGTGACCCTGGACCACAAAATCAGTCATATGGGTACATTTTTCGAAATTGAGATTTATACATCATATGAAAGCTGAATAAATAAGCTTTCTATTGATATATGATTTGTTAGTTAGTATAGGACATATTTGGCCGAGATACAACTATTTGAAAATCTGGAATATGAGGGTGCAAAAAAATTTAAATATTGAGAAAATCACCTTTAAATGGGTCATATGATGTGATTTCAATGTTTCCTTTCTCTTTGGAGTGTTACAAGCTCTTGGTGCACAAAGAAGAAGTAAAGTTGCAAAGACTAAAGTTTCAAATCCAAAGAGATATTCTTTATAAAAGTTAAGAGTCAACCACGCCTACCTAAAATGGCTCGTTCTAACACGCCCCTGCATGTCTACGTTACGATGTGGGAAGATTTGCATAACGCTGCCCAAATGCTTTGTTCACGCAAAGAAAGAAGGCATAACTTTTATTCTCGCTGTAGTATTGTTGCTGCCGCCATGTCGTGAAGGCGCTGTATGTTTCGCTGTGAAAGCGAAACTACTTTGCTTGGTCTTCCAAAAGAGGACGATATCCACTTCGTCATGCCTAGAGCTTATCCGTGCTGGTCACTTAGGGAATACATCAACTTCACGCTGTGGATCGCCGGATCAGCTTTCACCGTGGATGAAGCGGAGTCCAGCCCGGGGTCGTCACATGTGGTTGCCACAAGCCCATGCCCGTTCTCAGGCCCACTGGCCGCTGCTCATTCAACCCGGCCTCCTCTCACTCTAGGCCGCCGGCCGCCGCTCACTCAAGCCCGCCGTGTTTGACGCTGTGTTTCGATGCACGATGCAATGCGTAAAAAGACAGTATAAATCATTATAATCCGTAAATATGTCCCCACTGGATGTTAAATAAATGCTGTTCTTTTTAACTTTTTACAAATCAAAGAATCCTAAATATATATATATATATATATCACAGGTCCCCAAAAAAATATAAAGCAGCACAACGGTTTCCAACATTGATTATAAATCAGCATGTTAGAATGATTTCTGAAGGATCATGTGACCATGAAGACTGGAGTAATGATGCTGAAAACTCAGCTTTGATCGCAGAAATAAATTATATTTTAAAGTGTATTAAAATATAAAACTGTTATTTTAAATTGCAATAATATTTCACAACAGTTTTTTCTGTATTTTTGATCAAATAGATAAAGCCTTGATGAGCAGAAGAGACTTCTTTAAAAAACATAAAAAATCTTACTGACCCCAAACTTTTGACTGGCAGTGTGTATATACATACATACATATATACATACATACATACATACATATACATATACATATACATATACATATACCTATACATATATATATATGTTTAAAATGCCCCTGTCCAGTCCTGAGTATTTTGACAAAGACAAAAAATCTCATGTTGTCAGCACCTAAACAAGAGCAAAAAATAACAGATTAAAAAAAAAAGATAACAGCGTCAGTCAAGCTTTTTCTGTGTCCACCCTCCACATTCAATCACAAAACACACAGCAGACCTTGAGCACATCAAAATAGGGCAGCAAAAGGGTCTTGAACTTGCTTTCAATTTTGACCCCCAGGAGGGGGGTGAGGGGTAACCTAGGGGCCGGAGACGTTTCTACTAGACTGCAGCTCTGGTTTCGATTGCCCAAACTCCTGACGCCTTCCGCTGCTGCACCTGTCAGCCGTCAATAGACCCCCTGCCCGCACCCTTTCAGCATGGTGAATATATGACCATGCTGAATGCCTCCACCCAGCTAATTACTGAGACCTCAAAGACCTGAATCTGCTGCACGCACCACTATGACACTAAACCAGCCTGCTCTGACCTATGCATCTTATATACACCCACACCCACACACACATACACAAACGCACTTATACATGTGGGTCGCTCGTGAGGATCACGGCTGATGGAAACACTATTGCATGGTAGGAGATTAACAGAGCTGTCTACACGCAACCATGAATAATATAGTTATCACTCCAGACAGACAGGCAACACAGACGGCAGGTTTAAACTGCAGCTCAACACTGAAGTCCTGGCAGGACATTGCATCTAAATACACACTCTCTGCAAGAGATGATGAGCATGAAGCATCTGCAAAATATAAACCAACATTAGAGGAGACCGGGGCTAGTTGTCACATGCCTATGTCTCAGTTAATATACTATACTTAGTCAAACGTCTCATTACACAAATGTGTTTTCTTTAGCAGTAGTTTTCCATTAAGCACAACATAATCACACTAAGGCACTTTAAGGCAAGAGTCAACTTTTTAATAATAATTAAAGTCATCATGAAACAGAACAAATTATTCCGTATTGTGACACAGCTGCGTGAAATGGCTTACTGAAAAATAAAAATAAATGTAGGGTGGGGACTTGGTACTATCTATCAGTTGTTTGGATTTTGAGATGTGTGTGTTGCATTCAAAAGTGAAGGCTGATGAACCAGAGCTTGCAGGGACGGGTTTAAGAGGACTAAATGATTAGTTCAGCACACGTCACTAGAAAGAAGTCTGTCATTGTCACAAGATCAAGTTAATCACATTTTGATTTACAACTACAAAGGCAAAAATAAAACAAAATCAATAAGACCTATAACATGCATTTGGAAATTAGATATGGTGAATTTTTTAAACACTTAAATAAATAACTGGGTCACGTTGTCACGTTTTTGTATAAAACCTATAAATTACAATTTATGTTAGCCAAAAACAATAGTTCACTATTTTTAGTATGTTACCTATATTATGTTTTTTTTTCTTCATTATTTTGTAAACAGTTTTGCATTTCATAATTGTTTTACTGTTTACATTTTTTTGAAAACATTAGGTTTTAATCTCAGATTGTTATTAAGCAAACTTACCCCATATATTGTGACAACATGCCCCTCTACAGGGTCAAAAAGTGTGAACATTTTGAGGGGAAAAATTATATAAAATAATATATGTGTGTGTGTGTGTGTGTGTGTGTATAATTTATTTCCATAATTTGCCCACCTTTTGACTTGTAGAGAGGCATGTTGTCACAATATATGGGGTAAGTTTGCATACACACACACAGATATATATATGTAATATTGTTAAAGTATGTCCTTGTCCAAAAAAATTACACTGAATAAAATTTACTGGAGTAATACATTTACTGGAGTAGTAATAAATAAATAAATACATAAATAAAATACAATAAAATAGGCCCCAATCTCCTCTATGTGTAACCTAATATGTGACACTACAATCTTAGTATTACATAACTTTATGGTCATACCTAATAAAAATTAATTTTACATAAAGAAAAGTGAAGTGAAATCGTGCGTAACGCACAATGTGTCACAAAGCATAGCCAATAATCCTCATGTATGAAATCATGCATGAAGCATGATATAAAAATGTGTACGCCAGCGGGACAAAACTGTCAAAGGCACGTTCCAGATCGACTCGTGTAATCCCAACAACAACAACAACAACAACAACAACAACAA